TGTGTGTGTATGTATATATATATATATATATTTTTTTTTTATAGAAAAGTTATTCAGAAACTACTGAATAATCATTAACCAGATGCTTTTATACAAAGTGATTTACATTTGAGAAACATAGAAAGCAACTTTTTCATGCAGGCATGAACAATACTCACAGTACTTATCAACACTTGAATGTGGGTAAGTTTCATGTAAAAAGCAACGTTTTGAACAAACGCTGAGAAATCGATTCGCAATTTTGTAAAAGACTATGTCTGGATCAGACTCAGAATGTTGATCAAAACATAGATGGAATAGATCGCTTCCATCAACACATCCAAATCTTGCACGGTTCTATACCGCTTCCTGGATCATCATTTCATTCAGTAATGCTAGGCAGTTTTGATTTATATGCTGTTTAATGCTTGATGATCATGTTATTTTTAGGGCTGTCGTGATTCGTTGATTTTATTAGACTATTCGATTTTTAAAAATCCTCGACTTCATTTTGCTCGCGTCGACTAACCGGCAAAATACCGGAAGTGGCGCATTTCCAGACGAGAATGTATAAAACACATTATTAGTCTGTGTAACGATATGCTCAGGTCATGATACGGTACGTTTCTCGATACTGGGTTCACGATACGATACGTATCACGGTATTTTGAACAAAATTCAAATAACAGGTTTATTTCAAAAACATTAACAAATTTCAATAACTTTCTGTAAACCTGTATTCTTCTGTATACAAATTAACAACTGAATAGGTCTGTCTGTCACTGAAAAAAATTGTTAAATTAACATGAACTTAGAATTAAGAAGCCTAAGACAGAACATCTTAAAGCAGTAAAAAAAAATTATAAAATAAAAAGAATTAAATGGTGTTCTGTTCAAGTAAGTTCAACATAAACACTAGGGGGTTTGTTTAGGTTACCTACAGGTTTTTTTGCAAAAAAACCAGCATATCTACATTTTCAGGCAGAAGCTGGGATCTTTGAGCATTCACAATATCCCCTGCCATAGAAAAAACACGTTCACTGGGAACAGAAGTTGCTGGAACTGTTAGGTAAGCCTTGGAAAGAGAGGAAAGAAGTCTTTACCAAATTCTGTTTTCCATTATTTTCTGGATTCCATTTTAATGGTTCCATTAAATTTTAATAGTCAAAAGCATCTCCAATTAATTGATTTTATAAAAAAAAAAAAAAAAGTATATATGTATTTTTTTTTTCAGAAATGCTGCACATTTACATGTTTCTCCTAAATAAATTCTGGTAAATAATATTTATGTTAAATACTCCTTTAAAAAGTGTTTTTTTTATTATAATTTTATAATTTGTAGACTAGAACACGTGGATATGTTGTCATTCTTACACTATAATACTGAACTTTGATTTCAGTGATTTGGACTATGAGATGGACATGCTTCTTGCACTTTATGTTGCACTTTACTTTTTTACTTTTGGATTTCATTTGGTTTAATGAAATATAGTTTAATTAAATATTCTTAAGTAAAATTGTCGATTTTTTTTGTGGGAAATTAATCGTTTAGATTAATCGATAGATTAGTCGATAGATGAATCGAAATAAAAATAGTCATTAGTGGCAGCCCTAGTTATTTTACATATGCTTCTGCTTACATACACGATTGCTTGTTTCTGCTTCTTCTTCGCCGTTTTTTGGTCCAGACATTCAGTACTCTTTCAGAGGATGTGTAATAGTGCCTACTACCATACACCAGCAAAAACATGGAAAGCTGGAAAATTCCATAAATGGCGGGGAAGCATTGTCTTGTAAATTATGTAAAACTCTGTCAATGGCGTGGAAAGAGTTAAAGGTCTCAGAGCAGCAACAGCAACCGTTAAGATTCTGGAATGCGACTTTTTTACCACTTTATCATGGAGCCTTTAGGTACCACACACTTACTGACTGTACTGCACAGGGAACATAGACCTGTACAAGTGTAATAAGGTAGGTGGGTGCTGTTCCAGTCATGGTCTTGAAGCCTTGAATGTAATGCAGGCGTCTGTAGGCAACCAGTGGAGTGAGACCAAAAGGGGTGTGAAGTGGACATTTTTTGGTTGATTGAAGGTCAACAAAGATCCAGGAATCGCTGATATTATAATATGTCTGAAAGGCATGCAGACATACTAGCTTAAATGGTAGGTTTGTCAAATTAGAATTAGAATGACAGACAGAGCTATGCAGAGAGTTTGTGTATATTGAGAATAGGAGAGGACCAGATACCGAACCCTGAAGAACCCCAGTGGTTAGCTGATGGACTTGGATACCCTTTCCTCAAAGAGACTTAAAAAAAAAAGAAAATTACCAGTAGTAAAAACTGTGTTGAAGATTTGTGTGAGTGTGGGTCAAAGTGCAGAAGAAATACGTTATGAAAGATGTAAGTGAATAGGGTGTAATGGACAGGTGATGGACTTTTGAGGCGTCAGTCTCTATTGACGTTTTTACAACACAATTTTGAAATAGTACTGAAACTAAATTCAGTTCCTTGTGGAACTATACTGGTTCTAATAAAATTCTAATGACGGTTTTCTGGTGAGGACATAGGGAAGCTAGAAATGCGTTTAAATTTACTAAAAATGTACATTTATTTAAATTGCTTTATCATGCAGCTACTGCCCAAGTTATGTTTTCAGTTGTGTAAATGGGTTCAGTAAGTGACATACACCAGATTCGAATTCACATCAACCCACATGAACATCCTGGCTTCTGCACAAATACACAATTTAATCAATATTGATAAAGAAGTAAGCATTATTATTAAAAAAGGTGGTCAAAATGATGTTGCAGGTTTCCCATGGAGGAATATACAGAGGAAGTCTCAAGTCATCATCAGTGGTTTAGATCGATATCATCCCTTGTATTCACAGAAGTTACATCAGCAGGTCTGTGGGTGTCTAAATCACTCTGCCGTCATCTACAGTGCAGAGGCGTTATCCTTACTTTTTCAGGCTGTGTCGTTCATTTTCAATTTCTTATGTTTAAATTGTGTAAATTATTTTTCTTTACTCATTAATACATCACAGTTGTCAGTATAGTAAAGATCAGTCTTTTCACTCCAAATATTTATTAATAAGTATTGAAGACGCAGTAGTGGTATATAAATGACTCATTATTGTTCCATTGTAAATAAATTATTAGTAAATCAACAGCATTTATTGCATAATGACTGTTTTGGACTTTATTCAGTTTGCACCAGAAATAGGCCAAATTGCACAACTCTCTTAAAAACCACAATATGTTCTTACAAGATTTCAGGGTTTGTCTCTTGGCTTCTGGCAAACCCCTCGATGTAGTCTATCATTGGATAAAAGTCCATTTCTGTTTTCAGATTCGTTTTAGGGAAATTTCTGTAAATATTGCATAAAATAAGTGATTTTATCCCCATTTTGGTTAACCATCCACTACATTTAATGTGGCTTTTTATGAGCACAACCAAGGAAGATAAATCCATTTTATTGTACAAAATACTTTCCGCCACTTAATTATCTTTGGCAATTGACAGAAGGATTATTTATAATTTTCATTTTATAATGCTGTCTTATTGCTCTTCTTCCTAGTAGGTACATTTTAAAAATGTTTTCCCGATGAATCCTGGACTCCTGCTCAAAATGATAAATTAATATAAGGACAGTATATGATCCTGACGGATGACAGCCGTGACAGCTAAGTGGAATCCCGGAAAATAAACCGTGGAACTTTGACCAATGAGACAACAGTTTACTCGCGCATGACTTGCATTAACAAATTTGGTCCATTTAGAAACTTTGCCGTGTGAAAGCGAACTGCACCAAGAATAAAAAGCAACATTGTAATAATTTTAATCCCTGTTTCGGAAAAAAAGCAATTGATCTACAGGTGTGAAAGCACCCTGAAGACCACTGCTTTACAGTTTTTACCACAAATGGACCTATGAATGCAAGATGGCAAATAAAACACCTGTTTCGGAACAAAGCAATTGATCTACAGGTGTGAAAGCACCCTGAAGACCACTGCTTTACAGTTTTTACCACAAATGAACCTATGAATGCAAGATGGCAAATAAAACACAAAAGGCCCAAACATAAACACTGAATTACACACTGCACGTCTCTATTGAGCATCATTTCTGTGTAGCATAAGCCAGGAGCAGAAATTAAATGCAGAACTACACCGCACATTGGCTCTTCAGATAATCATCCAGATGCTGAGTGGTTACTTTATCAACAACACATAGCTAACGTTATATAAAACGTTATGTAACGTTATATAAAATAAAATACTAAGCCTATTAAAATAAGCTTGGAATTATATTAGCATACAGTAAAATTTAAAAACATAAAACTCACCATTAGAGGAGTTGAATTCTAGCTGACCAACTGTCAATGAAATACCCGTCATGTGCTGTCACGTGATGTGGCATAGGTGAAATTGTGCATTGCTAAATCAAAGAGAAGAAAATGTTCATTTTTCAAAAATTATACTATCACTGCAAATACTATCAAAAATATGTCTAAGTATAATTGTGTTCCACATTAAATGAGGATTCAGAAGGGATAGCAAGTCTGATAACTAGTCTGATGTGGGGTTCTGGTCCTCACAGGCCCTCTTGTGGCACCGACCCTGGCATTAGGGGGGGAATACACACAGAAAGCATTCTTTCCTTCTGAAATAGATAGTTTGGTTTTATATTTTGAATATTCAAGCATTCCAAAATATCTTTTAGGTATCTGCTCTGACCATTTGAAAACCCATATTGGTCAACCACTGGTACATCAAAGCCAAACTAACTGCCATAGTCTCTATAACTGCCTGCCAGGTATCGCCACTTCAAAGATTGATTACACATTTGCCAAGGCTGAGAATTGCGATTTATGCACATCACTAATCAAATTCTGTACAGCTGTGTGCTTCAAACGGACACTGTACACGGACAGCTGTCCAAAGTATTCTGCTTTCTAGGCTTTTGATTGATTGGAGCCTGGCAAAGCAGTTTTCTTCTGATGAAGTATTGCGTCTGACATTAAATCAGCTGACCCGTTCTTCTCACCATGATACCATCATTGCTGTTTGTGCAGAGGAGTAGAGGAAGTGTGGCAATCTGATAGGACACACCATGCTTAGATGCAAGATTTTGTCTAATATCAGTTCTAATAAAATGGTTTTTGAAAAAAAGCCTTGCGGTCAAAATAGTGTTTTACAAGTTTTTTTTTTCAGATTTAGTACTCTTAACAGATAGTTGTAATAAGTCTTGTATTGCTTTTATTGCCACTACATTTTTTTTTTTTTATTTAACGTATATGCACAAGATAAATTACTTATACATCAAAAAATAGCAATAGATGAGTAGAGATGATTTTTTTTTTTTTTTTCATATACATGGCAGTCTTTTTTCTTTGCTAACATGTTTGCTAGACACGAGTGGTCCATATGTTCAAATTTGCATTTTGCTGTTGTATTGCTTTATTATTGTATGTATTATGCACTGAAATTAAAATTCCACTGATATCAATAAGATGTTTAACATGTATTAGTATACATAGAAATTAACCTCAAGTATTAATATACATAAATATTAGTATGCATTAGTATACATATACACAACATCAAGTAAGATTAATACTATAATGCTGTATAATACTATAAATACTTTAAATGTATATTTTAGTTCATGATGCTTAATGCATTAACTAATATTAACAAACTAAAGTCTAAATTCTTACTAAAGTTCAATACTATTTTGTCTAAATAATAATAAGTTGTATTCATTATTAATAATAATTCTTATTAATAATAATAAAATACTAGAAACTTAAATCAGTCAGATTAATTGGCAGAATCATTTTAAATGAATTTAGGCATTATAGCGTTATAATTTACAGTTTGAAAAAATAATCCCATGTTGAGATTTGCTGAATATTACAGTTTTTGAAGATTTACTTGGAGTGTTAGATAATGGCAAAGGTAATCTAAATGCAAAAATATAGTAAATGAGTGGCAATCAAATATCCAGAATTGACCAATACCAATTAATAAAAAAAAATTGTCTGTAAACAATATGGTACCGATATATTGTTCATCCCTAGTGTATATGTGTATGAATGTCCATTGCACTAGTCTTTTTTTATTATTATTGTTTTTATTTATTTATTTTTATTTTTTTATTACAGAACAATAATGAAGTTTCACAGCATTAAGATGGAGGAGATTAATAAAATCATCAGAGATTTATGGCGGAGCACATACAGAGGACAAGGTCTGCTCTCATGATTGGTGCTTGACTTGATTTATCCCATGCTGATTCTTTCTTTAAACAAAAATATTTGTCTGTAAATATGGCATTGTTTAGATGTCTCCTTATCTCTCGCAGACATTGAGTATGTGGAGATACGCTCTGATGTGGATGAAAACGCCTCTGCTGGCCTGAAAAGAAGGACCTATAACTATAGAGTAGTTATGGTCAAAGGAGACACTGCTTTGGACATGCGTGGACGTTGCAGTGCTGGACAAAAGGTCAGTAAGCCACTACATGCATCTTGGGTTTCTCTTTAAAAATGCACAGTATATTTACTTACCACTCCATTGGAAAGTTATTTTCAGTCACTGAATCGTCCCTGGTTATGTACATTAAATGTAATGTACACAAAATATTTGATGCAAATTGAGTACGCATTATGTGTTGACAAAGCTGTCAATAGATTTTGGAGCCGAGAAGAGGATTCTGACACTTCTGTTAGTCAGCACACCTGGCCGATGATTTTATTGGTCGATAGATCAGACTGTCAATAGATTGGAATGTTTAACTGCAAAATAAAAGCAAAGCAGTCCCGTTTTATTAAATCCAATTAAATGTATGTAATCTTTGGCTTTACGGCATGTTTGTCTGCAGGTTCTCGCCTCTCTCATAATACGGTTGGCTCTGGCTGAGACGTTCTGTCTGAACTGTGGGATTCTGGCACTGGATGAGCCCACCACCAACCTAGACAGAGAGAACATAGAGTCTTTGGCACACGCACTGGTGGAGTAAGTCTTTATTAAAACAAAAACAGCAAGTATGTAAAGGGGTCATATGATGCAATTTCAAATTTTCCTTTCTCTTTGGAGTGTTGCAAGCTGTTCGTGCATAGATAAGATCCCTAAAGTTGCAAAGACTAAAGTCTCAAACCCAAAGAGATATTCTTTATAAAAGTTAAGACTGGTCCATGCCCTCCTAAAACGCCTCGTATAAACACGCCCCCACATGTCTACGTCACTGTGTGGGAAGATTTGCATAACACCGCCCGAATCTTCGAAGCTCAAAAAAATGGTATTCAGACCAGCCCTAGTGTAGAGTAGCGCTTGTTGTTTGTCGTTTCTCCGATCACAAATGCAGACATGCTCGTCTTCGCTCACCGTGGCCCGGAACGCAACGCGTAAAAAGACAGTATAAGTCATTATAATCAGTAATTATGTCCCCACTGGATGCAACAAATGCCTCGTTTGTAATGGGATTTATTGGTGTTGTCTCATCGTGCCGGTACACGCATCACAGTATAGTAAGGGGCATAACATTTCCGTCACACGCTTGAGGTATTCGGCCAATCACAACGCACTGGATAGCTGGCCAATCAGCGTACACCTCGCTTTTCAGACCGATGAGCTTTGTAAAAATCGACGCATTTCAGAAAGGCGGGGCATAGAGGAGAAACAATGATGTACAGTATGTGGAAAATAATGTGTTTTTTAACCTTAAACCGCATAAACACATTGCATTACACCAAATACACAATATAATGTTCTTTTTAGCAACATCATGACCCCTTTAAACAGGAAACACAGTCTATTTCCAGCCGGAGGAACATGACAAAACAAGAACTTTTATTTGCTATTTAACTGAAAGCTATACTTTTGGTATCTCTGCAGGATAATCAAGAGTCGTTCTCGGCAGCGTAACTTCCAGCTTCTTATCATCACCCACGACGAGGATTTTGTGGAGCTCCTGGGACGATCCAACTATGTGGAGCATTTCTACAGGATCAGGAAGAACCAAGACCAGTGTTCAGAGATCACGAAGTGTAGCATCAACACTCTCAACTCCTACCTGCACTGATGCATCAGATCTGATGAGAGAAGAAAGACTGTTAGTCTACAGAGGTGACAGAATCAAAGTTCAGTTTTTGAACATTTGTTAAGCATGATCTAAACAAAAGGCTTACCAGCCTTCCTGTACCGACCTACTAAAAGTGTATGTTGGCCTACTTGTAAATTTAGTTGACTTCTTTCAGAAATATATATATACATTAAAAAAAAAAATCTTTGATTCTAATTTCTGAATCATAATCCTAATTATGTGTGGCTTTATTTCATGATCTGTTATCTTTGCATCAAAAAGTATTTGGACTAGTGCTGTTGATTTGAAAAGAACTAATTCATCATAATTAATTAATCAATCTAATTAATCACTTTTAATTTAAGTGAACTTAAAACAATATTCACATAAATCCTAACCATATTTAAATCTGCTCAGCCTGGCACCAAACACATTATATAATGTCTATATAATTATATAATTTGGGGGAAATACATAGCGACTTTAGCATGTGCAAAAACAGATGCTTTGATAATTGCATTATATTTTTTATGCATTAATCAGCAAATATGAATTAATCTCAAGAAATTAAAATTATTTTTTGCCAACTCTAATTTGGAGGATTAAAAATGTATGATGTCTTTACATAGCATATCAAAATATCAAATAAGAATAAATTCAGTTAAAAGAAATAGTTTGGGTAATAAAATCTGCAGAAATTAATTTTGATGTTATTATTTGGTTTTCTCATTTTTAAGCAATGAAATCCACACATATATTTTGAGTCCAATTTTTTTCAAGCCAATTTTTTATTCACCAATGTGTCATTAGAGGGATTACTTGTCATATATGTGTTTTTAAAATTGGCTTTAACACTTGAGTTCAGCCAGCCAACATCTTAAAATTAGATTTCAAATGTTGTTAATCATCGGACATTTGCTGCCGTCATCTGTATGACTAATGCATCTCCAGCGCATCAACACAACTGCAAGCATGAACACATGCAGATTTGCTGCAAAAGCTATCAGTATTGATCGTTTGATTTTGCAGTACTGAAACTTATTTGCACAAGCAAACGTAGTCAAGATGTGGCCTTCAACACCTAATCTACAGACCTGTTACCCAAAATCATTATGATCTTTCTTGGCAGTTTGTCAGTGTCAGTTCCAGGAAATCAGGACAATATGACATATTATCAACCACATCTCAATCAAGATATTCAGTGAGCGCACCGTTATCAGCCAATGAACGAAGCTTAGCTAACGATGCAAAAAGGAAACTTGGTAGCCAAGTCTTGCCTTTCTGAGAGTATATATACACAGCATTCAGCAGTGGTGGAATCAAGTACCTCTGGCCTTCAAACAACCAAAGAAACTCAAGCAGACAGACAAAATGATGAAGACTATACTACTGCTCGCTTTCACTGTATTTGTCTCCTGCGCTCCTGCGGCAAACAGCGATAAGACTCCGGTGAGACACACCGATAAGACTTTACTGGGAGAGCTTGTTGATGAGCTGATCACAGCAATGAAAGATTTCCCAAAGGAAACCGAGGTAAGACTTAACTAGTAGCTAGTATAGTAACTATAGTAAGCCAATTCTATGTTTACTTTAATATACAAAGCAAAACGTGATTGCAATAATAATTTTACCTGTTATTTCTAGGAAAAACAAATCTTTCTGAAAGATCTGCAAATGAATATCATGGGCCATAAGGTGAGATGATACACACGGAATTGTATTGCCTCACACCACTACTACATTAACACAACTATACACCATATTAAACTTATAAGCTTGACTATGTTCAGCTCTTTTTCCATTTCTGATAGCTTTTTTTAATGCTAACAATCAAAGGATTCATGCCTTGTTCTTACCTGTGATTCCAATATTTTAGGAGCATGAGGTTTTTTTCTGCCAGGCTGAGCAAGAACTGAAAACTAAGGTTTCTGGGCTATCTGGTGCCAAATTTGACCATTTCCGTTTTGACAAGAAACTAATGAGGAATTTAAACATGTATAACAAGCACCATGTGGTAAGTTGTACTCTGGAACTCGATGTCTTCTCTATACAATTCCTCCATCCTATTTAATTAAAATAACCATGACATTTACTTTATTTCAGAAAACCTGCAAACCTGCTGATGAAGACCAAGTTCAAATCCCTCTGTGTGCTTTCTTGAAAAATCTTTTGACATCTGTTAAGAGTGCATTTAGCCAAGTCAAGTAAACTTTTATTAAAAATGTAATTTATGAAGGATCAATATATATTTTTTGTCTTTATTAATGTATTACTTCATTTACATCTACTGTTCCAGTATATAATTTTGTACATGAACAAATTTTGCATAAATATATTTATTTAATTCTTAAATATGGTCTGGGTTTTTTTTTATAAAGTACAGATTTGGTGCAGTATTTCTGTGCAGTCACTGGTTTAAAAATGTGAACTATATTACTTGCACTGAATTAAAAAAAAAAAAAAAGTAATTTGAGCATTACACACTTAAGATGTGCCTTTATCCATGCAAAATCATGACAGTGATGGACAAATCTGCAAAATTATTAAAACTGAAAAGGAATTGTGATCACAGTTACATCATCTGCAATCTTTATATTTAATGTACAAGAACCCTATAAAAGTCACACTGATTAAATATCATGCATGGAGCTATTAATCATTCATTTATTCAAACAATATATAATTTGTGCTTGTTGAATATTTAATGATGTGTTCACTTTTAAAACGATTAGTGTAATTTTTCTTGAGGGTGTTGTCTGTGTTCTAGAGGACATGTATTACGTGAAGTGGATCACAGTCACTTTGATACACCTTGATCAAATTCTAGTGTTTAATAGCTTAATGGTGCTGTTAATGTTTTTTTCTTCTGTGTATAGTTATCCATACTAATTTTCAAAGAGAAAACAGTCACACTTGAAATGCAGCTCCTGTTTAAATTCACAGTTCATTAAGCGTAACATTTCATAATTTATTTGTTTCTTGGGAATCAATCCCATGACCTGAGTGTTAGAGCACTGTGCTACCAGTTGCACTACTTTTGGGAAGAAGAAGCCAACAAAAAATAAATCTTTGAGGTCTTATTGGTTCAGAACCACTTTAACAACACTATGGCACCAAATTCTACATCGGAAAGCACCTCACATTTTCTTCAGAAAATATTTAATCTAGTGCAAATTCTCTTTCTGTTTTAATATACGCCCCTTTGCTTTCACTTGTGCTTTCAGCAGCGACATGTATACCAGTGCCCCATAGTGGGAGCTCATGTGTAGATGTGAAATGATATAACCACACTGCATGGGTGCATGTATTATTCAAAGGCAATTCAAGAGCCATGTGTGCACACGGCCCACAATCCGGCACGCTTTTAAAGGGGCGTGAATGATCAGATACCCGTGCCTATCAGCCACAGGGTCAACTCTATTACAGTTTTCTGGTGTCACGTATCCTCGACTTACATGGTACCTGGGTTAAAAACTAGTGCATTTGCACATAGTGGGTATGATAATGCAGTTCCCCTGACTCCTCACCAGTACAGTATGGTTTTAAGTGATTTAGGATTGCATAAGGTTGTACTGTACTCAAAAGATTCTCTCTTTGTCACTTCTTGTCCTTCAGAGCTTTTTGTTAATTATTTCAGCCTTAGGTGTTTCTTTGTATTTCTGGTCTTCATTAAATGTGTACTAGAATTTTAAGATCAGAGTTTTAACATCTTCTTTGACACTGATATTTTTAGCATTAAAATCTGATAGGAATGATGCTATTATAATATTTGCTTTATATATATATATACAGTGGGGAAAATAATTATTTGATCCCCTACTGATTTTGTAAGTTTGCCCACTTACAAAGAAATGAAGGGTCTAAAATTTTTATGGTAGGTTTATTTTAACGGATAGAGA